TTTGGTCCAACTGCTGCCCAGTTTTCACTGTTAAACTAATCCCATTTGCCTGTGTTTGGTCCATATCCCTCCATATCTACCCACTCCATTTACCTGTTTAAATGCTTCTTAAATGACAAAATTGTCCTCACTTCACCACTACCTTTGGCAACCCATTCCAGACACTCACCACCCTCTGTGAAACTGGACCCTTTTGTATCTCTCCCCTCTCAGCTTAAACTTATGCCCTCCAGTTTTAGACTCCCTACCATGGAGAAAAGCCGTTGGCTATTTACCTTATCTGTGCCCCTCATGATTTTATAGACCTCTCTATCTCCTGCGTTCCAGCCTGTCCTTATAACTTAAACCTTCCAGTCCAGGTAGCATCCTAGTAAATCTTTTCTGCACTCCTTCTAGTTTAACAATATCCTTTTCTATAGTAGGGTGACCAGAACTGCTTGCAGTACTCCAAATGTGGCCTCACCGACATCTTGTACAGCTGCAACAAGACTTTCTAACTCCTATACTCAATGCTGTGACTGATGAAGACAAGCAAGTTAAGCCTTTTTCACTACCCTGTATACCTGTGACTCCACTTTTAAAGAGCTGTGAACCTGTACCCCTAAATCTTTTTGTTCTATAATGCTGCCCAGGTCCCTACCATTTACTGTATAAGTCCTGACCTGGTTTGACCTACCAAAATACAACACCTTGCATTTATCTAAATTAAGCTCCGTCAGCCATTCCTCAGTCCACTGGCCCAGTTGATCACAATCTCGCTGCATTCCCAGATAACCAACTTTGCTGTCCGCTGTCCACTGTCCACTGTACCACCAATCTTGGTGTCATCCACAGACTTACTAACCATACCTCCTAAAATCTCATCCAAATCATTTATATAAATGACAGACAACAGTGGACCCAGCACCAATCCCTGTGGCGCACTGTTGGTCACAGGCCTCTAGTCTGAAAAACAAACCCTCAAACACCATCCTCTGTCTTTTACTGTTAAGCCAATTTTGTGTCCAATTGTCTAGCTTTTCCTGGATCCCATGAGATTTAATCTCACTCATTAAACTACCATGTGGTACCTTGTCAAAGGCCTTGTTAAACTCCATGTAGGCAACATCTACTGCAATGCTCTCATCTACCTTCTTGGTCATCCCTTCAAAAAACTCAATCAAATTCGTGAGACATGATTTCCCACGCACAAAGCGATGCTGACTATCCCAAATGAGACCTTGCCTCTCCAAATGCCTGTAGATCCTGCCTCTCAGAATTGCCTCTGACAACTTACCCACCATAGACATTAAACTCACCACTGTGTAGTTCTCAGGCCTCTCCTTGCAGCCATTCTTAAATAATGGCACAACATTAGCTACCCTCCAATCTTTGGCACTTCACCTGTGGCTGTTGATGATATAAATATCTCCTGTAGGTGCCCCTAGCCTCCCACAAAATTGTGGGGTATTCTCCATCAGGTCCTGGGGATTTATCTACCTTGATGTGTTTTAACACTTCCAGCACCTCCACCTCTAATATGGACTCTCTTCAAGACATCGCTATTTATTTCCCCAAGTTCCCTAGCATTCATGCTTTTCTTGATGGTAAATGTTCATTTAGGATCTCACCCATCTCTTGTGGCTCAGCACATTGATGACCTTGTTGATCTTTAAGGGACCCTCTTCTCTCCCTAGTTACTCATTTGCTCTTCATGTACTTATAGAATCTCTTTGGATTTTCCTTTACGTTATCTGCCAAAGCCATCTCATGTCCCCCTTTAGTCTTCCTGATTTCTCTCCAGTATAGTCCCAACACCCTTTATGCTCCTCAAGGAATTCACTTGATCCCAGCTGCCCATACATGCCTCCTTCTTCTTGACCAGGGCCTCAATAACTCCAGTCATCCAGGTTTCCCTACTCCTACCAGCCTTACCCTTCGTTCTAACAGGAATTTGCTGGCCCTGAACCCTCATTAACTCACTTTTGAAAGCCTCCCACTTACCAAACATCTCTTTACCTGCAAACCCCCACCCCAGTCAACTTTTGAAAGTTTCTATCTAATGGTATCAAAATTGGCCTTGCCCCAATTTAGGAGTTTACCTTGTGGACCAGACCTATCTTTTTCCATAGTTCTAAAACTAATGGAATTATAGTCACTCGATCCAAAGCACTCCCCTACTAACACGTCCATCACTTGCCCTGCCTATTTCCCAAGAGGAGGTCCAGTTTTGCCCCTTCTCTAGTAGGGCCATCTACTTCATGAGAAATTCTTCCTGAACAAACTTAACAAATTTCTCTCCATCCAAGCCCTTAACACTATTGCAGTCCCAGTCGATGTTTGGAAAGTTAAAATCCCCTACTGTTACAGCCCTATTATTCTTGCAGTTATCTGCAATTTCTTTACATATTTGCTCTTCAATATCCCACTGATTATTGGGAGGCCTATAGTATAGTGCTATCAAAGTGATCTCCCCTTTTTTTATTTCTCAATTCTACCCATATAATCTCAGTGGACAAACTCTCAAGAATGTCTTCTGTCAGTGCTGCTGTGATGTTCTCTTTAATCAAAAACACAACTATCCCTCCTCACTTATCTCCGCTTCTATCCTTCCTATTGCATCCGTACCCTAGAACATTGAACGGCCAGTCCTGTCCCCCCCTCAGCCATGTTTCTGTAATAGCTATAATATCCCAGTCCTGTGTACCCATCCATTCCCTGAGGTCTTTTGCCTTACCTGTCAGGCCTCTTGCATTGAAATAGATGTAGTTTAACCTAGTCTTTCCCTGCTTCCTGCCATGTTGTTGCCTGCCCTGTCTAGTACTAGGAGTACCAACACTGCCTTTACTATTTAACTTGTCATTAACTTCTGTACTATCCTCAACCTTCTGTTTCGTCTCCCTGTTGCTTAGGATCCCACCCGCCCTCCCTCTGCCAGACTAGTTTAAACCCTCCCAAGTGGCTCTAGCAAATCTCCCTGCTAAGGTATTGGTCCCCCTCCAATTTAGGTGCAATCTGATCCAAGAATCTGAATCTCTGCCCCCTGCATTCATCTGCCAAATCCTTCTGTTCCTACTCTAGCTAACACATGGCACCAGAGGTAGTCCAGAAATTGCTAACCTTGAGGTCCTGCATTTTAACCTTCTGCCTAACTCCCTAAAATCACTCTTCAGGACCTCATCCATTTTCCTCCCTATGTCGTTGGTACCAATATGTACAATGACCTTTGGCTGTTCACCCCCCACTTAAGAATTTCATGCAACCGCTCAGACATTTTAGCTTGATACTGTCTTTAACATTTCTCATTAACCACTGGTGGGTCTTGTTCATTCTTACTCATTGAAATGTATGTATTTTGTGTGTTCTGAAATATCCCCTCAAATGTTTGCCATTGCGTCTCTATTGAGCATTGTTTTAACCTAATTTGCCCATTCACTTCACAACAGTTCTGCTTTTATGCCCTCATAATTGCCTGTATTTACATTTTTAAGAGTCTCTGACTACCCTTCTTCAAACAGTGTAAAATTCAATCCTATGATGGTTGGTGCTAAGTAGGGGCACCTTTTCAAGGAGATCATTAATCAATCCTAACCTATTACAAAATACTAAGCATAGTATATCCTGCTCTTTTATCAGCTCCTGAGTATACTGTTCTAAGAAACTATCCTGAAAATGTTCTATGAACTCATTTATGTTACCTTTGCTCATTTGACTTTTCCAGTTGATAAGTACATTAAAGTCTTCCATGATTGTCATTGTATCTTTCGGACAACCCCTCCTTATTTCTTACATTTATGCTTCACCCCACCATGTAGTTAATGTTAGGAGCCTGTACACCACTCCTATAAGTGACTTCTTGCCTTTGTCATTTGTCCGTTCTGTCCAAACTTTTCTAAATCTTGGTTTCTTGAACTTGGTCCATCGTTTCTCTGTTGTGCTAATCTCATCATTAAATAACAGCCATATTGAACACTTCTCAGGACATAATCTTCAAAATGAGGCTGAATTATGCTGAACCATCATCCTTTGAGTGAAGATTTTATTGATATTATGAGTGAATAACATTTATTGAAGATTGGCGTAGTAAAAGAAGCCAATCTCAAGAAGGGAGTGAATGTGGTATCTCTTTGACATAATTGACTGACAATGACTGCAAATACTTCAGTCTTTCCTGTTGCAGTCTGGGATTGGGATCTAACATGATTGAGAATGCTTCCTCCTCCCCATAATCATTTAAATAACCGTTACCATTAGAAACTTATTGGTATTGATTAGGGGATCAGCTAGCTATTATCAGCTATTATTTTTGGATAATATTTGCTCTTTCAATGGATGTCTTACCAAATAGCTAAACTCTTGCATTGCCTTCAGATAAAATGTTGGCAAATTTTATGATTAATGAAGTATTGCATTTATATACTGCTCTTGGGTATTGTTCAGGGTTTCACATCCAGTGATGACTGGAAGCCGAGTCATTGTGTACACAATAAGGATCCACAAACAACTTTGTGTTGATGTCTTTTGGCTGTAAGAGTGGGATTTCACTGGGATGCCTGGGAAAAATGCCATTCTGTTATTCAAATTGTGTTGTGATCTTCTCTATCCACTGGAACAGGCAGGGCTGTAAATGTTCTTTGAGTGCATCATCCATTGATGATGCAGCACTTTCTGCAAGCTGGCATGATCAAGTGCTTATGTTCTAATGTGAGACCCAAACCTCAATTGTCTTGGTCAGACTAGTGGCTTAACAAACTGAGCCAACCTGCTATTTAAAATTGGGATTTGACAAAGTCTGACTCCTTTATTCAAACCCCTTATTTATCCTTTTCTGTATTATCCCTTACCCATACAGTAATTTTGAATTTGTACTGAATTAAAACAGAATATATTACTATTTTTGAATGTGGGCTTGCCCAGATTTTGAAGTGTTGCACAGCAGCAAGAATTATCCTTTCAGCTGCAGATAAACCCTTTGCCAGAGTGCAGCGTATGCTAAATTTATGTTGGTTCCATTATGCTAGGTAGCTGGTAAGGAGCCATTCACGTACGTGACCAGGAGCAACATGAGACGTTGACGCCTGCTGCTGCGCTTGTAATTCCAGAGCTATCTCTGCCAGGCAGCTCAGGCTGAGCACACGAGAAAGCCGTATCATCAGTATCTTTAAATCTGCAGCCTACATTGGGCTCAATGCTTTTCAAAGATCTAAAACCAGCGGCAATAAAGCCCCAGAAGTGGACTAAGATGCGAGTGAGTGTTTATTTGGTTTGTATTTAGCAAATTAATTTATAATTGCCTTTTAATGGGGTAGTATATTTCTCTTCAACGAGAAGTCTTGACTGTTATTTTCGAAACAAGATGGTTCGGAGATGTCAGTGGAAATGCTTTTCCCCATTAGTTTATGCTGTTTTGGAGTATCGTCAATGTCTGGTAGTCCTGTGTATGTGTAAACAAGGTGACAAAAATGATGCAGTTATAGTCAAGAGTATGCTGTGTGGTCCTTCTGTATAATTAGAAATTGTTCAGAAATGGATGTGCGTGTTAACTTCCTCTAAGATGTTAGCAGATGTGTGTTTTAAAGAGCTACTGTCCTCAACAAAAACCAATTGGACAGTGCCTTCTGTAAGCATGCAAAAGGAGCTTGAGTGAAAAGATTTATCACTGGTAATTAAGTTAAAATTTATTTTGGGCACTATTCTCTTCCCTGATATGTTTCCCTGTGAAAAGCAATCAAAAGTGAACTTTTCTTTCAAACCTATTAAATATCTAATGCTTTCTAGCACCAGAGCCTGATTCTTATCCTAACCATCCCTCCACGATTAACATTGATTATTTAGATGGGGAAATACCATTGAGTGAAAATTAAGGAAGATCTATGTTTGATATCTGAAACATACTGTGGCAATTTGTCAGTTAGTGGAGCAATTACCAGGACAGCAATGCTTTTACGAAAGCAACACACTGCGGAAATCTGAAATAAAATCCAAATGTTAGAAATACTAAGCCAGCTGGCAACATCTGTGGACAGAGAAAAACAGTCAGCATTTCAAGTTTGATATGAATAGTCGTATTTGACCACTAACCCTGTTTCCCCCTCCACAGATGTTGGCAGACCTGTTGAGTATTCCCACTGCTTTAATTTCTACCTTTGCTTTTGATTTTTTTTAAAGTGAATGAAAAGCATCAATTTGATGTAATCACCCCCATGATGATACCTTTAAGATGTAAAATAATTTGTTGGATGCATTTTTGTGAACTCTTTATCAGTACAGCATTGTGACATTGTTCTTCCAATTAACACAGTTAAGCTGTGAAGTAGTGATGTATGGCATTGTCAGTGTGCTAAATGGGATAGATTGAAAACTGGGCATCACGAGGTGCTGTGGCCTGTCTGCAGCAACAGAATTGTAGTCATCTATAGTCTGTAACCTTGTAGCCCTCATTCTACCATTCCCGCTGAGCCAGGGGATGAACTCTGGATCAATAAGATGTGTAGAAGAGAGCTTGCTAGGAGCAACATCAGGTATACCTAAAAGTGAGGTTCCAACCTGGTGAAGCAATAATCCAAGAGTTAACAGAGCTAACAGTTGAAGTAGCACGCTGTAGAGAGTTAGGTGATCCCACAGCCAATGGAGAAGATCTTTGATATTACTGTAACCAGTTTCTAATGGTAGCAGCTAATTAAATGATTAATGGGAGGAGAAAGCATTCTCAGTGATGGTAGAACTTAATACCAGATTGCAACACGGAATATTAAAATATTTGTAATCATTGTCAGCCGGTTGTGTAAAAGAAATACTGCATCTCACCTTCTTGAGGTTGGCTTCTATGACTGTACTAATGTTCAGAAAATTTAATTCAGTCATAATATCACAAAGTGACAAGTGCATAAAATTCAACACAATGTCTTGGCTGCAGTGCTCAAAGATTTGTGCTCCTCATAGATGATTCAAATTGGTCAATGAGGAAGAAAACTGTAGTTTCAGGAAGGGAGCAACAGGTTGGCCAACTGGGCAGTAAAATAGCAAATATAATTCAGTCTGGTGAAGTTTGATGTAATGTGTTTGGGGAGGGCAAACAGTCAAAGGAATACACAGTGAATAGGTTACTGAGGATTGTAAAAGAAGAGATATTTGAATGCATATCAGTAGACCCCTCGAGCAGTAGAACAGGATAATTTATTAGCCAAGGCATAGAATATGAGTGTTGGGGGGGAGGGGGGTTTGGGTTATGCCAGAATTGTATTATTCATTGTTTAGACCACAGATCAAATACTGTGCACAGTTCTGTTTGCTACACTACATAAAGGATGCGATTGCATTTGATACAGTATGGGGGTTTTGCCAGAAATTAGGAATTGTAGCAATAAGCAAAGATTGAAAGGATCAAGGTTTTCTTTGGAGCAAAGGGTGGATAGGAAGAACCTGTTTCCTTTCAGAGAGGTCAGTAACTGAAGGCACAAATATTTTCAATCAATCAGACATGTTGGCCCAGAATAATGGACACTACTTGTGTGCCTCAGGAAGTCCAAGTGATTGTGGGAGGATTAGAGGAGTGTTGAGGATAAGTCCTTATTGATTCAGAGGGTAGAAGAGGTCTGGAGCTCGCAGCCTGAGAGGGATGTAAAAACAGATCTTCACTGCATTTGAAAATGCACTTGATTACCCATATGTGACCTACAGGTCTGCAGCCTAAATGTTGGGAAATGGAAATAAGTTTGATAGCTTTTTTTTTGTCTGACGTGTACAAGGTGAGCTGTAAATTTTTGATTTTATTTTCTGTTGTCCACTGGTTAAGTAACTTTATCTCCACTGCTCCGAGGTTGGTGCCTAAAAACTGTTGTATGTATTTAAAACAAAAGGTGATTTCAGTACCAGACATTTATCTCTCTCTTTTATTACTCTTTCACTTGTGGCATGCCAGCATTAGCACACTGTATGCTGCATTGTACATGAGTAAAATAAAATTCATTATAAAGAATAATCATACCTATTCATGATTTAGTATTAAAACAAATTCCTTGCTGTCCATTCAAGCTTCAGACGTTCGCACTGCTCAAAGAACCATATACCCCAACATGCATTAGTATCTTCAGAAGAGTTTGGATTGTTTCCTTTGTCCATGTTCTGTTGCTGTAAAAGGGTTAAATAAATAGGCTAAATGCCACACTAAGAGGGCAGAGCTACGTGGAGCGGTTAACTGCCTTGTAACTTGTTTGTTTGCTGCAGTTCAAATAAAGGCAATTCAAAGAAAACGGAACATTAGGCAAAAATTTTGTGTTAGTGACGTGATTAAGCCGTAAAGAAGGGCAAATATGGAGTTCACAAAATAGATGGCTATGTTCCTGTCTGCAGCACTTCTTCTGGATTTAAACTGTGTCGATCTCATGGAAAGTTGAATCGTTAGGGAAACTGGTGCAGTAACATCAAGTTTATGCACTGATGAATGAACATTAATAGGCTTTATTGAACACAATATTGAATAAAAGGAATAACGAGAGAGGACATCTTCTGGAGCCATGCTCCAAAACTTCTGATTCCCCGGTCCCCAACACCTCATCTTTACCATGGACGTACAGTCTCTATACACCTGCATTCCCCATACAGATGGCCTAAAGGCCCTCCACTTCTTCCTGTCCCGCAGGCCCGACCAGTCCCCCTCCATTGACCCCCTCATCTGCTTAGCCGAACTCGACCTCACCCTCAACAACTTCTCTTTTAATTCCTCCCACTTCCTACAGACAAAGCAGGGGTGGCCATGGGTACGCGCATGGGCCCAAGCTATGCCTGCCTCTTTGTAGGTTACGTGGAACAATTCTTCTTCCGTAGCTACTCTGGCCCTAAACCCCACCTCTTCCTCCGTTACATTGATAACTGTATCGGTGCTGCCGCGTGCTCCCACGAGGAGCTCGAACAGTTCATCCACTTCACCAACATCTTCCACCCCAACCTTAAGATCACCTGGACCATCTCTAATACCTCTCTCTCCTTCCTGGACCTCTCTGTCTCCATCTCTGGCAACCACCTAGAAACCGATATCCATTTCAAGCCCACCGACTCCCACATCTACCTAGAATACACCACCTCCCACCCACCTTCCTGCAAAAATGCCATCCTCTATTCCCAATTCATTCGCGTCAGCCGCATCTGCTCCCAGGATGAGGCATTCCACTCCCGTACATCTCAGATGTCCTCGTTTTTCAAGGACCGCAACTTACCCCCCTCAGTGGTCAAGAATGCCCTCGACCGTGTCTCCCGCATTTCCCGCAACTCATCCCTCACACCCCCTCCCCACAATAACAAACAAAACAGAATCCCCCTCGTCCTCACGTACCACCTCACCAACCTCCGGATCCAACGCATCATCCTCCGACACTTCCGCCATCTGCAATCCGACCCCACCACTAAAGGCATTTTTCCCTCCCCACCCTTATCTGCTTTCCGGAGGGACCACTCGCTCTGAGGCTCCCTTGTCCGCTCCACACTCCCCTCCAGCCCCACCACACCCGGCACTTTTCCCTGCGACCGCAGGAAGTGCTACACCTGCCCTTACACCTCCCCCCTCACCGCCATCCCAGGCCCCAAGAAGACTTTCCACATCTAGCAGATGTTCACTTGCACATCTGCTAATGTGGTATACTGCATCCGCTGTGCCTGTTGTGGCCTCCTCTACATCGTGGAAACCAAGCGGAGGCTTGGGGACTGCTTTGCAGAACACCTACGCTCGGTTCGCACTAAACAACTGCACCTCCCAGTCGCGAACCATTTCAACTCCCCCTCCCATTCCTCAGACGACATGTCCATCCTGGGCCTCCTGCAGTGCCACAACGATGCTACCCGAAGGTTGCAGGAACAGCAACTCATATTCCGCTTGGGAACCCTGCAGCCCAATGGTATCAATGTGGACTTCACAAGCTTCAAAATCTCCCCTCCCTCTACTGCATCCCAAAACCAGCCCAGCTCGTCCCCGCCTCCCTAACCTGTCCTTCCTCCCACCTATCCCCTCCTCCCACCTCAAGCCCCACCACCATCTCCTACCTACTAACCTCATCCCGCCTCCTTGACGTGTCTGTCCTCCCTGGACTGACCTATCTCCTCCCTACCTCCCCACCTACACTCACCTTTACTGGCTCCATCCCTGCCTCTTTGACTTGTCTGGCTCCTCTCCACCTATCTCCTCCTCTATCCATCTTCTATCTGCCTCCCCCTGTCTCCCTATTTATTTCAGAACCCCCTTCCCCTCCCCCATTT